CAAAATAAGTAGCCTCCTTGTCTGTAGTGGCCTTCTCGGCCTTGAGGAGGTGAAGTAAAATAAAAAAAAATAACTTTTACTTTTTTTTGTTATTACTTTTTGATTAAAAAAGTAATAACAATTATAATTGGAGTAAGAAGAAGTTAACTCAAAAATTCTTTTAACATTTAACTAACTACTACAACTTAGTGTAATTATTTTTTAATGCTGTGCTGAGCAAAAATGTACAAATTCAATATTGTAACATATTAAAATTTTGCGTCCCTAATAACAAGTAAATACTTGTACACAATATGGAAGCCCAAAACTATACTTAAGTTTATTTAAGTTGAAAATATGATTTAAAAAAATAAGAAAAAAAAAAATCGTCGGCCACACCAGAGCGGCGCCCCAAGAACCCTAGCGCCCTATGCAACGGCTTAATTTGCATGGCCCTTGCACCGGCCCTGATTTTGCCTCCCAACATAAAAAAAGCAATTAACTGCTTATTTTAAAGAGGAAAGAATAAGCTTTCCAACGATATATGACATGTCTTTACAACAATTTTTTCAATTTAACCCACTTTTTAGTGAAATTCTACAGAAAAAATCAAAAATAAAGTTTATGCTTAAATATATACAAATATATAAAAAATGTTTTAATGAGGGGCGAAGAGCTTCACAAGTTCAAGTTAATGCATAATTTTGAATTATTCAATGAGGTCTCTTTTTAAGGGGCGTTTTTTGAGTGTTGATAGGTCCGGCTATTTTTATGCGCCTAGCATTCTATTTGGTATGGATGCGACTTACTCTAATTGTGGTTTAAATTTAAGATCATTGGAGACCATCACACCAATGCCTATTTCGATTGCAGGTTTTTCGAGAGAAAGACGCATGCCGTCAAAGTTAGCTATTAAGTACTCGTGCGTTAACATGCGTTGCCCAATATAAATTACTTTTCATTTTTTAACGTTGAAATGCATGAGCAAATTTGTGACCATTCAACTGCTTTATCAATGTCATTAATTTTTGAAAAAGCCTAAAATTTTACTGTTGTCGGCATACAGTTTCATATTATTAAAAATAGTCATTCAACAATGAGCATGTTTCACAGGTATTGGTGATGGTGTTGCTGATGCTGTTTTAAGCAATTTAATGGTATTCTTGATGCTCTATTTGCTTTGTACACGTGTATGTAGACATTTAGGGTCACTTTTAGAATCCCCAGCAAGTTTTTCTTCATACTTATGCCTGTCAAATTTAGCCACTTTGGTAACGTTTTGGCATAAGTACAATTAGAAATTTTGATTTGGAGAATATAATATTGTGTGCGTATCGCGACCTGCATTAATGTACTTGACCCATAAAGCGCGTTTAGCTTTACAACATTTGACCTATTAAACATAACCAATTGCTACTACTTCAATAAAAAGAGTAGTAATTAACGGGATGTGTACAGTAGCGTAGCGACAAAAAATTGGCCCCCCGCAAAAATTTAATCCGGTCCCTAAATTACTTTTTTTCTATTCCCTTCCCCCCCCCCCCCCCCGCCTTGCCTTTACCTTCCTTCTAGACAAATAAGTTATACATGAAAATAAAAAACTGTATTCTAAAACACAAACTAATGATATATGCATGTTATTTATTGTACTGACACTTTTTTTTTAATTTTTTCTTTGTTGCCTTGGGCCCCAAATAACTCTGGGCCTCCCCTCTATTAAACCTAATTTAATTCTTACTTTTTCAAATAACATGGTGAGTTAAATATATAGAAATTAAAAATAACATTTTCAAAAAACTTAAGGGAGGCTATTGTCCTCATTGAGCCCTCCCCTCCATTGTGGGACTGCCATAATTTAACAGTATCGGTTTTGTTTTTTCAACAACATTTGATAAAATTTTTTTACTATTCTAAAACTTTTTTACTACAATTAAACTTATATTCATCGATAAATTTTAAGCTTCATAGAATGACCATATAAAATTTGTAACACTCTCAAATTGAAGGAGGTTCAAAATTTATATGGTCATAATTTTTGAACGCTGAAATATTTTACTATAAAATTTAAAATTTATCGATGAATATAAATCCAGCTAAGAATATTACAAAAAATATTTTATCAACTTTTTGCTATAACGTTTGGGGCAGAGGGGCGAAAACTCTGGGGCTTTTTTGTTTCTAGGCTCCAACCATCGTAATTTTTTGCAAAGCATCTTTGTTTGACAATAAGTATAAAACATACAAAAGTTAGGAGTTTGCTTCATGTTTAGAAGTTAGCTATCTCAAAGACCAAAAATTGTTGGATCCGTAGTTAAAATAGTAAAAAAACACAATGTGAATATTAACACAAACAAACAATCAAACAAAAAACTGTGAAAATATCACATCGTGAAACAAAAATACATTGTTGTATGGTTGTTTGTGTGTGCGTGTGTGTGTGTATGTGCGTGTGCGGACGTTAGTTTAGTTGGTTTCTAAATCACTAGCTTATTGAAGCTGCTTATAAATGGCTGGGAAGCTCAGTTGGTTAGAGCGTCAAACGAAAAATTAAAAGCCGGACTGCTGTACGATACGTCTTCAAATCCTGCCACCGTCACCTCTGCACTTGAGTAGTACTTCTGTTCGCAAAAATGTTGGTCAATAACGGACACTACTTTGGATTAGTATTAATGACTACTTGTGACTATTCCTATGCTAAACCAACAATATCTTCGGATATAACATTGTTTAGAAAAATATAGCATGAAAATTCAAATAAATAAATGATAATAATAAAAAAAAATGTTCGTAAATTTAATAATTTACTAATAAATTTTACATAATACATAAAACGTACATAATGTTACATAATTGAAGAAAGAATTTCGTGTATTTCGAAAATCGATCGACAACCCTAAACGTTTTGTATCGCGCTTAAATATAAATTTGCCTAACCTCAACATTTTCTAAAAAAGTATTGTAAAAAAGTACTCAATAACAGGTTCAAATAAAACCAAAAGTAGAACAAGTCTAATTTTAAAAACTTTCAATTCACTTTTATTTTTAAAATAGTTTTTAGAAAAGAAATTATTTTAAAGAATTATTCAAAATCAATTATTAAACGCTTTTTATTGAATTATTATTATTGTTAGTTTTTGTTAACATTGTATTTGATAAGCTATTTGAGTATTCGAATATTTTCACATTTATATTCGATATTCGAATATTGAAAAGCTCGTGTTGGTATAATCTAGTTATTACGTTTAACGTTACTTAACTGTGCATTTTCACGTAAAAATGCATTATTACGCGAATTCCTACACGTAATAACGTGTGATATAATTTTCAAATGGAAATAATTGTGTTCCAATCATTAATAATGTCCAGAGAGAATTATAAAAATGCTAACTATGACTAAAGGGAGCTATTATGCAAATCGTTAAAAAATGTCCTAAGAGAAATCGCAGAAACCATTACAAAAACAAAAAATGGAAAGCCTTATTCTTGAACTATAAATCAAATTCTAATTTTTTAACAAATAATGGAATAAAATAGCAAATCGTATACTAATATTGACCGAAGTTTTATGGGGACCGATTGTTCGATCAATTTCGTAATCAAAGTTTTAATACTCGGTATTCGGTACAAAAGTCTCTTGCTTAATTGCGCAAATTAAAACAGGCACTGCGGTGCGCAATTAACTAGGAGTGCACAAATAAGAAAAAGATAAGAAAAAATTTAGCAAATTAAATTATTAACTATATATTATGCATAAAGGAAAAAGTCATGAGTTGTGGGCTGATATGCGTTCTGCAGCTTTTCTCGTTTAATTTTCACAATTACTGACCGTATGTTTGAAGATAGTTGTTCGTAGCTATTCATTAATTTATCGTTGTCGTCTTTTAAAATTGCTTTAGCTTTTTGATATTTTAATTGCTTGCCAATATCGATCAGAGATAAATGTATAAATTCAAAACCTAAGAAGTCTGTACCATCGTCTATCTCATCATTATTAGCTTCTTTTTCATCAGAATTGTTATCCATAGCAACTGTATTATCATTGTTTTCATTATCAATTTTAAAAATTGAAACACAAATATTTTGGGCCAGAACGCGCATTTAACTGAGATGCGCAACTAATTGGGTGCGCAATTAAGTGAGAGACTACTGTATTCAATAAACTTCGATAGGATAAGTTAAACGAACTTTGCTGGTGCCAAGTATAAGTCCTTTTTTATGACCAGAGAAATGAGCAAAAAAAAAAAAAATTAATTCATATACAAAAAAAAAAAAAAAGAATTAAAATTAAAAATCTGTTCTTTGAATAATTTGATTGTTCAAACAAAAATATTTGAGAAGCGAAACTAGATAATAAAACTGTGTTACTATAAAACCATGTTACTATAAAACCATAGCTTAAATTGCCAGTTTTTTTAATCGTATTCAGTTTGCACCTTAAACGTCTAAGTATAGATATTTACCTTAAACGTCTAAATATAATATTAATATAGTATATAAAAAATAGTAATAGTAATATACTATGAGCTTATAGTTAGACGTTCTTGTGATAATAAAAATAAAAAGCTCTTTTTCTGAAACTTTTAAATTCATTTAAACTTCATGTTTAAAACTAACAACAAAATCTAAAGCAAAAAAAGATTTTTATAAATAATTATTATATAGTTTGCATTTGTTAATATTTTATTGGGCATAAATTCGATAAAAGCCCTGGAAGCTTTATTGGCTTTCACCCTTCTTCGTTCTTCCTTCTTGACAAATCTATTTACTTTTTTTTGTTAATTATTTTTTACTCTATTGTTATCTCGCTTCTTCCTTTGTAAGTAAGCAGATTTTCCGAAATTCAAAGGATAAATGAATCAAAAAGATTTGCTTTAAAAACCTCGCACTTCTCTTGAATTTTGATTTTTTTTTAGCTAATAGATTCTAAAAAACCGACTCCTTAGAAATTTTGGTGGTGCATTATTGAATTTTTTGATCGAAAAAAAAGCCAGGTGGTTTTCTTTTTAAGTAAACATTTTTTAAAAAGCTTCTGCGTTTTCTCTCTTTCTGTCTCATTGGAATTTGTGTAGTTGCGCAACGACGCTCTTAGCGCATTTTTAAATAAGAATATTGCCGACTGGAGCAGCAAAGCAAACAGAAAAAAATTACTCAGTACAAACATCGCAATTAAATCATGGAAAAATCTCTTCAACATCAAAACGTAGATAGTTTAAGAGCGCAACTTAATGCGACACGAATCCCGCTATCTAAAGCTGCAAACGAGTGAGTACACTTTGAATTGTAATTTTTATTTGGTTTAAAACAAGACAAAATGTTTGTAAGATAATTTGTTAAGCGAACTTTTTAACAATGCTGAAGTTCGTTTGCGAAATAGATTCACTTATAAACAAATAAAAACAAAAAATTATCTAGATATTTTTTATTCTTATTAAGAATATTTAAACATTTTAAACAAATAAAAAGTATAATAATATAGCTAAAAGTTGAAAAAAATAAAAATAAAATAAAACTAGATAAAGATTTAATAATTTGTATTGCTGTAGTGTTTTTGTACTAATTTCAACAAAATCTATTTAACGGTTTTTGATTCAATTGAAAAGCAATGAATTGCCAATTCATAAAAATAAAACGTCTAATATTTAAAAGTTTTTAATTACGAATAACAAGTTTTAACTTTATAATCAAAATCCATTCACAAAATTAAAGTTTCATTTAAAAATGTTTAGGTCTGTACAGTAATGGCGCCTAAATAGTTATGTCCAATTGAAAACCTTATTTTTTTGAGTTTTTAAATGTAAAATTCGTGTTTATTAATTTAAACGTTAAAAAAATTCAGTGTTCATACCATTTCTAAAAGTATTAATCTGGCCACAAAAATAATAAATAAATAAATAAAAATTAAGGTAAAAGCGAATTATGATGATTGTAATCACATTGCTCAAAAAAAAATTTGGGCAAAAATGTATATTTTGTTTTTTTGAAATACAAAACACGAATTAGCCACATTAGCCAAATTAGCCACATTCTGAACAAGTTGAGCCGAAGTAAGACTATTAACATTTGGTTTTTTTTCATTTTTATATATAGGAGACCGGGAATAGTTGGCAGCTGGAGAAAGTTAGCGAAGTGTGTTTAACTTTAAATGTTTTCACCACTAAGTCCTAAATATCATATGGAATTCACGTTAGCAATCACTTTAGTTTAGAAAAGATTTGCGCATGGCGTAGTTTTTTAAAAGTTGCGTTTTCGGACAAAAAAGTAACTTATAAGAACATCATTTCTTTTTACATCATAAAGGAAATAGCAGGTTTTATGAGAAAGAAAAAAAATTTAAAAGCTACCATTCACAAATGATACTATATACTAAATGATACTACACTATATATATATATATATATATATATATATATATATATATATATATATATATATATATATATATATATATATATATATATATATATATATATATATATATATATATATATATAATATATATATATATATATATATATATATATATATATATATATATATATATATATATATATATATATATATATATATATTCTTTTTCAATAGTTGCCCTTTTTCTGGGTTTGTAGTGTTTATTTTTACGGATCGTTTTAACAATATATCATCGGTTTCAACAAGACGCCCGCCATCTTGATAATATGTGCGCGTCAAATCTATATAGTATATTTGAAAAAAAAAACGTTTTATCTAAATATTAAATTTTTTTTTATCTGTTAGTTTATTAAGAATATTATACATGATCGGTTTATCACTTTAGAGTGTTCTCCATAAACATTCTGTTAAAAAAAATATTAAGTGATAAAAGTTTATTGAAATTTTTATAAAATTGTAAAAAATTGAAAATGCTTTTGGTTTAGTGGGTAAAGTTTGCAAAAGGTTTACAAAACAAAAAACAAAAAAAATTATGAACCATAAATTTCTTTCGTAAATATTATATAATTATTTTCCTGTGTCGTTTTAACTGTTTAATATATCGTTGGTTTCAATAAGATGCCAACTTATTGAAACCGACGATAGGCAACTAGACCCGGTCTCCCTATTATCATTTATATGATTTACTAAGTTTGCATTCTTATATATTTCAAATTTTGTTGTGAAATTTTGTCAAAACTTCCGTTTATATATTTGTCGTTTAGTATAGTGCAGTTTTGTTTGCAAAATGAAGGTAGCGACCCGCTAGTAACGCCTGGTGCACGAAAACCAAATCCTTGGGCAGAAAAATCTAAATGTATGCTGATATAATAACTGCTTTGTAAATATTTTAAATGTTAATTACATACAATTTTGGTTTTTTGTTCTCAAATTGTTTTTTATTATTACATATGTATGGATTGTTGTGGAACAAATATATATAGAAATAAATAGGAGATCATAAACTAAAAATTATGTTTAGATATACGACACAAAGATTTTATCGGTTATTTTGTTTCTAAAAACAGTTATGTAGAATTTGCACACAAATAAAAAAAAAAGTAGAACTTGCTAATTAAAAACGTTAAAAAAATTCAATGTTCATACCATTTCTAAAAGTATTAATCTGGCCACAAAAACAATAAATAAATAAATAAAAATTAAGCTAAAAGCGAATTATGATGATTGTAATCACATTGCTCAAAAAAAAATTTCTTTTAACTATCTTTCATAAAAACCATTTTTCTCTTTAGGGCGCGAGAAGCGCCCTAAAGAGAAAAATGGTTTTTATGAAATATAGTTGCTTAAATGATTTTTAGCATCAAAACCTCCCAGTAAAAAACCCTTAGATTAAAGCCTATGGTAAATGTAAAGACTAGGGTTATGGCTTTTTATCATCCCCATGCTCCTGTACTGTAGTTTGATGAACTTTTACCTAAAAAGCACCAAATGAACTATTATTTGCATATCTTTTCAAAAAAGTTCACCCCGCCATTTAAAAATTCAAATGTATTTAGAATATCATGGTCATGTAATACAATAAATTTTCAATCCAACAATGGCTCAGACCGTTGACCTTGCTCTTGCTTGTTGCACAGAAGGAATCGAAGGCGCAATCTGTCTTTATTTTTGCATGATGAATAAATTTTCTCCATTACTTGCGTTCTGCGCATTGATTACTTCTGAGTACATGTAGTATGGATGGCTCTCGCTTCCAGTGATTTTTCAAAGAGTTTAAAGCCTTTTTGTATGGATTCAGTATTTCAGCCAAGTCATTAAAGTTGTTTTCGCTGTACAGCTAATCTGTAAAGCAATGGTCTGCTCAGCCATACGATATAAATTGACACTCTGCAAGCTGTCCTTGTTGAAGGAATTAAAATGAATGTCAGGATTGCTAGTATAGCTCTGGAGTTCCACCTCGCATTTCTGATGTTGGGTATTTCCGAAACCTGATCAATGGAAAATGTCCCTTTTCCTCAAAAACACTCGAGTGAGATGAAACAAAAGTTTCATATCATCTCTCCAGCCTGATGTTTCGAGAATTACTTCTGTTCCGTTATCAAACTGTGTTTTCAGTTGATCGTACTCCTTCAAGAGTTAAGATACAAATGGATATTTGATATTTGGCGATTGTGTTTTCCTTCCAAGTTCTTCATCCATCACTAAACGGAGGATTCTATCTAATATATGGTGTTGACAACTGATAAACTGAGGTTTGTTGATGCGTTTCTCTGTGAACATTCGTTGCAATATTGCAACAACACCATTCTTTTTTCCAGTGTTAATGCTAGTGGTATCTGCAACAATCATCTGTATCGAATTCCATAGTTGAAATTCATCGAGGACTTTAAAAAATCCTTGAGCAATAGTTAAAGCCCTACCATCTACCAAACCAAGGATATCCAATTTGATTTCTCTTCTTTCATTTTTAAGGACGACCACTTGATAATCCATTCTGTTGATGTCATAAAGGTGTAAGGACCAACTTTCCAAATGCAACTTTTCATTCATTTCTTCCTTCAGCTTGATTGCCTTTTTGATTGTTGACTTGTAAATAGCTGATTGGCATGGAGTTGTGATGTCAATGGCTTCACGAGCCAATTGCTTGCATATTTTAGCAGGTTTGTTTGTTGGTACTTCTGTGGAGGTCACCAAGTTGACTGCAATTTTGCTTTTATGATGTTTTCTGTTTGGTGTGGGAGTTGTCTCATCTTCTTCATTGTTTTCATATTCACTGTTGTCAACCTCAGAGTCAGAATTACTAAAACCATTATAGTAAGATAATGAGTTGGATAACTCATTAGAAAGTTTTTTTCTTTTAGAAGGATGGATCGTTTCTTTACTGGTTGCCTGGCCTGTAGAGTATCCCAAGGTTCCTTTGCTTTTCACTTGGAGATGGTACAATCGATTGTCCTTGGAAGATAATCATGATTTATCTACTTTAGTAATATCAAAAGTTTCATCAAGAGGGTTTGTAGCTTCCCCGGTTGACACATTCATTATAACATTTCAGTACTTTATCAAGCTTTGCTCGTATAACTTGATCAGATACATGAGGAAAATTAAGTTTGTTCTTCCACAATTTGGTAATTTCTTTGGAAACTTCCGCTATTCGCTCCTTTCTTCCTTTGATTTTTGGTCCAAAGAAATGGTAGCGTCCAATAATTTGCTTTTGGAGAGGCATTCTTCTCTTCTTTTCTCACTTTTCTTCCAATAAATATTCTTCTAAAGGGACAATTCTTTTTTTATGAGAGTCTTTAAAATTTTTTCCAGATTATTGGTTCAGACATCCTTTTTCTTCTGAATGCTACTATCGCTAGGCTTGTACGACGCCATGTATTGCTTCTGTAATAACTATAACATTAGATGAGCAGCTATATATAGTCTAAAATGTTCTAGAATATTTCAGAATGTTTTAAATTGTTCTAGAATGTTCTAAAGTCTTCTAAAATATTCTGTTATTTTTTAAAATGTTCTAAAGTTCTAAACAATTTTTTTCAAAAAAAGTCAAAAAGTTATAACTCTAGTATAGACACTGTGCCTACCTAGTATAGACACTGTGCTACTTGTACCTACAATTAAGGATGTTCAGGAACATTTGTTGTTGTTTTATTGAAGCAAAGCAAGCGTGACACTCATCTACATATCTCTTGTAAGTTTTTGGTTCAAATGTATGAATAATTGCTATGTTAAGGGCTTTTCTTTTTATATTTTGTAAAAACGCTTCCGCCATAACAACCATTAAAGATAAACCTATAGGACCTGAAAATTTACAAGAGATATGTTGATGATTGTCATGCTCGCTTTGCTTCAATAAAACAACAACAAATGTTCCTGAACATCCTTAATGAACAACATCCTGCCATAAAATACACAGTAGAACTTGAAAACGACCTCAAACAACTCAATTTCCTAGATATTAATATTATAAACACAGGCTCTGAAGCTTGTGAATTTCAAATACATAGAAAAGAAGCTATTACAAATGTTCAACTTAAACCTAACTCGAACATTAATCCTAACATTATTATTGGTGTTTTCAAAGAATTTTTATGTCGTGCTAAAAGAATATGCTCTCAAAAACACCTTCAAGAAGAAATTGATTTTCTAATAGACATCTTTGTTGAAAATGGCCAAGACAAAAACATTCTAAATAATATTACTATAGACTATTTAAAAACGGTTCAAAAAACAACACATTTTAACCATTAGATGCCCAACCCTTTATAAAACTACCTAGGATACCAATTGTTGGTTCAAAACTTCGTAAAGAATTTCGAAAGCAAAACATATAGGTTATTTTCACATCAACTCCCAATTAAAAAAATATTTTTTGCAACAATAAAACTCAACTACCACTAAACACAGACCTTGGCGTATACCAGCTAAAATGTTCATGCGGTTCGATATACATTGGCGAAACTAAAAAGAAGGTGATATCGAGATGTATTGAACACCAGAAAAACAGCTTAAAAGGAAAATGGTCCAGTTCGGGTGCAACTGAACATTCTAAAACATGCCATGGTAAGTTTGATTGGTTGCACCCCAAAACATTATCTGTAGCCCCAGAATATTGAACTCGGAAAATCAGAGAGTCACTCAAAATAAGCAAAGCTAGGGTTCGACAGGAGTTGAGAAATGGTGATATGGTTCTCAATCGGGATGACGGTGATAACTTAACAACTAAAACCTAGGGGCCATTTTTTAATAAAATCTGCTGACGTAAAATATACATATATATATATATATATATATATATATATATATATATATATATATATATATATATATATATATATATATATATATATATATATATATATATATATATATATATATATATATATATATATATATATATATATATATATATAAAGATTTTTTCAAAATTATTTAAAGCAACTGTTTTTAATTTCAATTTCAAGCTAAGAAATTAATGAGTAAAAAAATACTTTTCGTTTCAATATAATTTTTTTTTTTTTGAAAAAATACTGGATGATCAGAAACGGTTCTTAGGAAAAAAGGCAATGATATAGGGGCCCCGAAAATTCCTGATAAAAAAAATTCTATTTAATGATAATTTCTATTTAACAATAGAAATTATCATCAAAACTCAAAAAAATACTTTTCGCGTTCGTGATATATATATTAAATTGGTTTTTGTCCAAGTAGGATATTGTGGGGTGATTTCGCCACTGAATGATAAAATAGTCCCAGAGTAAAAAAATATATATATAATGTACAATATTTTTGCTTTCTAAAAATTATTTAATATTATTTTTTATTATTATATAAACAATTTTACAAAATCATTGGATATATATTAGGAATTACAGTATGATAAATTTATTAGAAATATTTAAAAGATATAATAAATCAATAGTTTTTAGATATGCATTTAAAGCTAAAGTACTCTATAATTTAACTTAAAAATAGTTTTTTAAAATTCTCCTAAAATTTTGTATTTGAAAATATTATTTGTTCCAATTAAATGCATTTCTTATATTCGCATTTCTTATCATTAAATGCTCATCATCACTGATTGTTTATAATCAAATGCTACCGAAGCTAAATTTTATATGTGTACATCAAAAGCTTATAACAGAAACAGCGAAAAATAACTCCCTGCTTTGTGTTCGGTGTGGCATGGGTGGATTCATCAGAAGACTGGCTCCAATGCTTTTCTTGTCATATATGGAGATGTGAAGTCCGCTTTTGCATCGACATGTGCACAGAATTTACTTAATTCGACAAAATATAATAAAGCTTTAACTCTTTTTACATTGACAAAATCGCTCCATAAAAGGCGAAATCGCCCTATATAAGTGTGTAATACAAATTGGTGTTCATGAGTATAAATAATTTTTTTTTTTAATTTTTAACCGT